ACCTTTTCTTCCCTCGTGAGGAGTGTGAAGTGCCAACTATAATTTGACCTAGGTCATGTCAGGGTCTATAGTTCCAAGATAAAGTCTCTCGCACTCCGCAGGCCTAAGAATGTTGGAAAACATGGTAACGAAGACGTAAAATGGAAGTACAAACTACATTGCTTCTCCCTTCATTCTCCTGTGGATCCATTTTTGCCCGGTGGACCGGCTGGGTCACCCCAGAACCAGAATAGCCTTAAAATTTCAAAATGGACGGTTTTGCTATCGAGACAGCACTGGAATTCACTGTTATTCTACGCCTCCACAATCAAGCACAATGCGACTGCCAAATCCCCTCCTGCCGCTGGATGATAACAATGGTGCCTACCTCTAGCAAACTCAGCTTCAACTGGGCTTTAATTTCACGGCTGTTCACTCCACTTCTCATGTGATTGTTAAATATTACCAACAAGGGAATATGGAGAATAAGGAGGATAAGAAGGCCGTAAAACTTAATCTTCTATTCTACGCATTCCATCATCTTCCATCACATCCAATCCTGAGGTATTCTTAATGATGAATATTATGGTGTGAGGTCTTGACCTGTTCTATGAGGAATGGACTTCCTTCTCACTAATTAAATCATCGGCCATTGGTCCTGACATTCTTGACTATGCCACAAAGAGTTTTCATGCAAATCTCCTAGTTGCGTCGACCTGTATCATGTTGGATTATGTCCACCTCAACAGTAATTACTCTTTAACCTTCTACAAGGGAATAGTTAGACGGTTATTTCACAGTGAACCAAACACCTACAAGGAGCATAGACTTGGAGGACTGAACAAGTGTTGCCTTGAAAGTGTAGGCTGACGGTGAGTGGATTGTTCCTTCTCTTCACGTTCCACGACTTACAAAGTCCATCGCACTCAATTATGCTTAGCATCGCTGGCATTTACTCCTGACACCAGTAATTGCCTATTACTTTAACAAACGATGGTGTTAAATTCCTCATTATTATTATTTACTAGAGGCCCTTCCTCAGTGTGATGCATCCACCTGCTTTCGAATTGTTTGAACCATTTTTATCTGGACGGTGAGTTCTGTTGCCTTTTGTTAACTTTGACATTAACTGAGCTACTCTCAAGTTGTGGAGCTGACAAACTTTAACAACATGGTTTCGGTGATCAAAATAACAGGGGAACTGCCCAGGACGGGACGTAGTGATAGACTGGCGAACACCCATGCCTCATGGCGGTACACAAAATACTGCATCTCATTACTTCTCTCCCAAGTTGAAAGCAGTCATTGTGACGAGGTGTGTCGAAAATCGTACGGATGTCTTCTGTTCACCTAGCCCAACGAAATGGGTAAGGCAGGGAACAACCACTTGTAAAAACAGCAAATCTTCCGGTCTTCGTCTCGCAATCATTTGCTCCGTGAGGAACAGAGCTATCCCTCGAGTCGCAGAACAAGGTAATTAATTTATAACCACCACCCACTAATTTAAAATCACACTTTTTAATTTGTCCTCAACTCTGCCCACTTTTCTGTTGATTTCGGCGCTTTGCACCATAAATTTCACTTTTCCACTGTTACAACCGTCCTGGACGGTTATCCTGCGGAGTGTCTCCCTCCCTTACTCCCCACCACTCTCCCCACACGTCATACCTAACATGTGCCGCTTTCCGAATAAATCAACCAATTTTATTCCCAATCGTCTTTTCCCGGTGTCCCTGTGGACTAACCAAATTCCGAAGTTATTACAAGAGGAGGTGGTGGTGGTGGGCGGAGGGGTTCGCGTGTGTGCGGTCTGGTCCTTGCACCCCTCCCTTCTCTCTGCGCTGTCTCCCTGCCTCCCTTATTCCCTTGCTCACTATTGCCTCTAACGAGCGAAATGAGCAGTCCAGACAGGCATTGATATCAGATACCGGCGGCCAAATGGAGGATTTATGCGTTAGAGGCACCGATTTCAACGCCTGATAAAACACTCAACTCGTTCTCCCCCCTCTCCCCCGACCCCCATCTTGCTCTGCCCCGACCCTTGGTCCTCCCGCCCACTTGGGGCAAAAAAACTCTCCACTCTACCGTGTTTTCAGTTAAAATAACATCCAAACATTTCGTTTTGTTTTGCACCCGCCCGTTTTTTAGGCCTGAAGTTCAAAAGACAGACACTTGTCTAGGAGGGCAAGGGAAAGACAGGAATGCTTTAAAGACCTGGATCAAAGGGCATTCAGAAGAAGTCTCGTGAAAAATGCGATGATCAAAGGTCTCTGGAGGGTCAAAGAAGTGGAGTAGGGCTACCGTTAACCATATAAGTTTATTTTTTGATAAGGAAATGAAGCTTTTGAGACAAAATTGTACAATCTTAATTAGTTGTACTTCCGTCGGGCAGCGTGGCCCCTGTGCCATGCCAGTAACCCCCAGCCCTTCTGTTCGTCGGAAATATATAATTTACCCTATTTGTACGCCTTCCTTCGAGTTCAGGAAAGTCTCGAAGTGCTACATTGATTGCAGCTTAAAGCGACCCCCTATTCTGAAGGTCAACTGTCTTGGTTTCCGTTCTTAAGTGTGGAACCTTACCGCTACGGAAAAAGAGCGGAAAATCTGTGACGGCCACTAACAGAGGGGTTGAAAATGATGTCTACCTTCAAAAACTACCCCATTTCCATATCTGGCAGGAATGTTAATAACAGTTGAACCGACATCAGCCGTAAAGTACTTCGTAAAGCTCGTTACGGAACAGTCAATGGTACGTGGATGAAGGCGTCAATCGGTTGAACACACAATAGCTCCTCCAACTCTCTACTAGCTAGCCAGAACCTTGATAGGCCGATATGGCTGGGTAGCGCCAAAGTGGAAAAAAAGTGATAAGGGGGAGAGATGCAAACCTTATCACCACGATACTACTTTATTAAAAGACGGCTTTAGGTCTAGTGGTCTTACGAATAGCAATGAATATAGGTGATGACCTACACATTTTTCCTTCACCCAATGCAGTTCCCTAATAAGACAGAACTCGGATCCACTGGAATTGTCAAGAGACATCGTTGACGTTAGAGTCATATCTTTGCCGTCACAGGCAAATTCGATGACCGGTTAGTTTGTGGTCGTCTTTATCTTACAGCACCACGTACGTTATGATGGCCGGCACGAAAGGTTGCCTAAGGGAATCGCCAAGGGCAAAGCTCAAAAGGAGAGGGGAGTCAATGTAACTCTTTGACGATTTTTTTGACTGTTCGTGTTAGTTTCGTGGACTCTTAAAGCTTCGCGGTTGTAATTCTGCTCGCGGTTATCACCCTTGGGCCATGCCGGTAGCTCCTCACCCCTTTTATGCATCGTCAATACACTTTCTGTCCTGGTATTATGCCTTATTTTGTCTTCGAATAGGACTCAGAGACTACAGTATCCCCGAACCAATTTTGAATACTTAAGTTGAATGTAACTTTGCCTTTGAAATGACTGGATTGGAATGCTTTTCCAAGTTGGAGGTTTAACAACACAGCTTTTTGGTGCTTTTTAATTGCACTAAATCTTTTACAGTTCTATCTAGACGCATATCCCTTTTAGAACGGACTTTTGATAGTGCGGCTCTCTCAGTTTCCGCCATAACTTGATGGAATTGTGTACAATGCATGGATATGGAAATACGTCGGTCTCTCAGAACAGTACCTTACATTGTGCTCACCGCCTTGAACCCGCACGAAATCTCTTCAATCTGGTGAATGAGAGCAAGGTTTGTCTGTGTGCCTGTCTGTCTGTCTTATGGGGTAGAGATGACTTCGCTCCAAAGCTGGAGAGGCCAGTTTAGCATCAAATTGGTTGGGTAACACTTGAGAAAGGTGTGGCAGAAAAGCAACATACCACCAAAAAGACTGATTTGCACAATTAAATTGTTAACACATATCTCAAGTCGTTGATTCACCGCGTCCAAAAAAGCATCCTTCTTCTGATCAGGCAGAATTACGTCATGTTCGGATCAAAAATGTGACAATATATATCCTTGTTTGATTCGGCTTTTCCTTTAAAGAAAATGTGGTTTCTTAAGCGATTCCGTAGTCATTTAAATGCCTGTGTAGTGATCTTATTGTTTGACTAACTTTTCATTTCGGATACGGAGGTGCCAAAGACTGCGCTTTTGTACTTCCGCATGGCGGCATGACAGCCGAGCTAGATCAGTAGTCTCACCCTCCCATCCTCAGTCCCTCTGTGCGTCGACTTCGACTTCAGGAACCACTCAAGGCACTACAATCACATTTATCATCAAAGTACCGAGCGGCGAGGATCTTCTCTAATCTGTGCATAATCGGTGAACCAATTTTTTCCGTGATCACTCACATCTACGCATAGAGGGAGAGGGGGAATGCAATCACCTGCCTCATGAGAAGTAGAGGCGCTTTTAATGATTGTGCAGTGGTAATTTGTGGATGAAATGTGATATTTATGGGACAAATTTTATGTGCCCATTCATAAATCACCGCAAAGGCCACAAAGACTAAAGCTTTCATTAATTTGGCACACAATTGTGATAGTCCTTTTATTTGTTAACTCACCATAACACTTTGTTTCCTGTTATTTATTAAACTCTGCATTTAGTTTACGTGAACACTTAAGGCTCCGCTTTTGTACTTCAGCTGAGCTACACAGCCTCCGGATCATGCCAATGGCCCCCCAGCCCTTCTGCACGTCGGTGATACATTTTCTAGTCAAGTAGTATGTCTTCTTTCGATTACGGTTAAGCGAACCCTCCGATCACCGCTGTTCGTACTTCCGTTTTGGCCATCCAACCATTTTTATGGCCTTCGTCTTCTGTGCTTGTACGACAGCTTACGAATATGGAGGAGAAATGGAAGGCTGCAATGTCTTTGAAACAAGAGGTATTTTGAGAAACCATTGACAAGTTGAAAACCAAAGTAAAGCGTGTTTCAAGTTGTTGCGTGGCGGTTTGGAAGTGCACCAGAAAATCTTTTAATTAATAGACTGGAAAGTGAAGATTTCTGGGTTTCGCAATCGGTTGAGAGGGTCTAGAGACGTAGCATACCCTTACCTTCTGGTCCAAATATCCGAAGACACCCATTCGCATCAGTTTGGATCCAATAATACTAGAACGAGAAAATTGGAGTTGCTTTCGGTGGAGTTGGTCGTAATGGCTGGCGGTGCTTAATTTCCCCGCCTTAACAAACTTTACATTCTATGACTGGAAAGCTCATGGAAGGCTGCTGAAAAGAATGAGAAAAGTAAGTAGAAAAGGATGTAACGCAAACAATTCCCTTTGACCACTCATCTATCGGTCTACCTAAATTTTTCGTTTCTTTATGAGTAGAAGCTTGCAGCCAGACCAGAATATAAAACAGAAAAATTGGGAAAAATAGATTTTCATTTTCAAGGAAAATTTGATAGGGTAGGGCTGGTAGGTTAATAACATCCTCATTCTAAAAAAGGCGAAGCTAGGCGTCTGTCGAAGTACCTACTCCTGTTGGAATTTTACAGCATCTGGCAGAAAAATCTTCCGCTAGATAAGGATGCAAGGTAAGAACGAGGAGAGGTTGAGATGTGTCAGAAATAACATCATTTTCTCTATGTTTCTCTAAGTTAGGGAAGCTCATTTCCTCTCTGAGGAGAGAGAGAGACCCGGTAAGAAACAGGAAAAATCATCGAAGCGTAAACATCCGGAGGAGACGAATCAATTAACTTTCAATCACCGCCTTTCAAAAGTACCCCCACCATGGCTTTTGAAAAAGCATGGCCGAAAGGAAGGGAAAGCTATGAGGTGACGCCTCTTCAATTTAATTTATTCGTTTAGAAGCTGATCGGTCTCAATAATTTATCTCCATTCGATTTAAGTGAGCTTGTTGTCAGATTATCTTTCTTTTCTCTTCTTCCTCTTCTTTTTCGCCTTCTCAAAATCACTTTAGGATACCAATAACTTCATTCAGAATCTGAAGGTGGAACAATTAAATTGGAACAGACGAATTTGTGAGGGAATCCATTAAAAGAAGGAAGGCGAAGGCAGTGGAAAAGGCTGCGACAGAAGTAATTTCCTTCCACTCTTAAGTCACCCGCATTCATCCACCCTGAAAACAGACCTAAGAGCAAACTTAAAGGAAGATTGAACATTCAAGATGCAACAGAAGTCTTCACTACCCTCACCCCTACCTCTCTTGCATCCTACCGAGGAAGGACAAGGCGCGAAGACGGAAGTGTTTCCCTCTCTTCCTCCTCCTCCTCCGCCCTCTTCACACTCCTCCCTCGCGCTGACCATCTGTGCACGTGTGCATGCAAGCGTCTTTAATCCCCTCTTCCCCACTTCCTCCAGCCCCAGCTGACAAGCGACGCGCGTGCGTGAGTGCTTGCCTGCGTAGGTGTGGAGCGGAGAGAGCAAGCGGAAGTTGGGATTGTGCAACCCGCCGGAAGGAAGCCAGTGGGCAAGTGGGGCAGGCAAGCGGACTGGTGGAGAGATGACACGTGAGCACTTGCATGCGCAGAAGATTGCATTCAAGCCAAACAATGCAGGTTCCGCCGATTGACGGTAACTTGCGGCTGCTTGATGATGCGTATGTCGGATACTGGATGTCCCCACCTTGACACGCTTTGCATCCTGTGGTGGGCTTGTAAGAGTAATACCAGGCAGTGTAATAAGGAATCCCATCGAGTAATTTTTAAGGTGTCCTCAAACGCATTGAATGCCAGCATACGAGTTGTAGGTTAGGCCAGATGGTACTAATAAAGATAGCATGTAACAGTGGTAATGAGTACAAGGAACATCGTGCGAGCAAGAAAGCTGCTTAAAATCCAGGATTATTCTCCTGTAGAGCCTACCTTAAATGTGGCACGGCGATGATATGCTCAACCTCGTGTCAAAGACGATTTTAGTCGTGGTTGTTCATTTCTTAGTTCATAACAGCTATTTCCTTGAATAGCTGGCTTCGCTAGCCCTCGATCAGTGTACAGCTTGAATCTTTCGCAAACCCCTGTGGGATCTTCTCTCTCTGAAATGGATTCAGGCTTACAGCATCGCTACCTTTCTGTACGTTGAGGTGGGTAGAAAATAAGTGCTAAAGCTTCAAGCTCCTGGCGCAGAGGCTAAACGTCGAGGGACTCATAGGGTCAGCGTTGAGAAACAAATATTCCAAAGAAGGACAACACTTCAACCTTGCTGCCCCTTGACACCTCAGAATCCTGACGATTGGCCTTTACACAGGCGGCATAAAGCTCTGCCCATAGTCTTGGTGATACCAGTCTTCCAGCCCTTCTGGAAGTCAGTGATGAACCTGAAGCTAGGCTTGTTTCCCTTTTCCTTTATTCAAGGGCAATTTGGGCACTTATTTTACTTACTGATGGACTCACTGTGCCCTTAAAAGTGATGAGATGTTCCCAGCCTACAAGAAGGATGCGAGCTTGCCCAATCTTCACCACAGCCACGCCTCATACCACCGAAGGAAGGCTGTATTCATGTCATCTATAACGGTAGGTTATTTCCCCGTCAGGCGGATCGGGATCAGACGGGGGAAGCAACTTAATTGCAGCGCACGCTCTCCGTACTTTATTCGGTATGGCGTATGGCGCTTTGGCATGCATGACTAGAATGCGGGTAGTGTGTATCAGGGTCACGACTGTACTTTAACCAGGCAGCCATGCTTGAATCACCAATTGTCTGGGGCGTCCTAACTGAATGTCAGAACCGTGTGTGGTCGTGATGTCCCATCAGTGCGATCGAGCCGTCTACGGACGTCCAAAACGGTAGGCGTGGTGGCGGTGCGATAAGCACCGCAATTTTCCCACTCGCCCACACATTGAAAACAAAACCGCTTTCAGATTAGTGCACCCCATGACCAGCTAAAGCAACTTCCAGACTAAAATGTCATGATGGTTTTTACTGTCTAAATCAAGTCGCCATCTTGACAAGCACTGGTGGTCATTACTCACACAAAATCTTCCGAAGCAAGAATGTCGTATTTACTGTAAACCAGAGCCCAGTTTTTGGTGTAAATACAAAACAAAACAATGATTTGAGATTAAAATGTAGACAATAGGCTTCTATGCCAACTGCACTCCGCCTTCCTCCACTGCCTGTAAACAAGCCCTGTTTTTAGCTTTCTCTACTGCACGAATTCGTCTAAAATGCATTTGCGCACTTCCCCCTGCACTTTTACTCTATTTCCAGCATGGTTTATTGTGGCACAGCAAATCCAGGCTTCTTGATAACCATCTGGGAGTGAAATTATGGGCCTTGGAGTAGACACAACTCTCACCCCGTGTGTGTGTGTGTGTGTGTGTGCATATAAAATCATCCATTCGAGGTCAAAGCTGAGCTGCCAACTAGCGCAGAGTAAATGATGGATGCATCCATTAAAATCCAGGACGCGCTTTGGTGACTCGACTAGAGAAGGGGGCAGGGAGAAATAATTGCCGAAAGCCCCATTTCCATTCATACTATCCAAAATCAAATTGGGAATTGTTGACCCCGGACAGGTAGAAAAGAAGATATGTTTAAAGTTAATACAAAGAATGATCAATTCGCCAAATCAAAATTCTTTCATTCAACTAACAGAAGTACGTCATTTCCCTGTAGGGCTGTTTGAACCACTGCGTCACATATATGTGACGCTTCGGCTGTCAGAATGCGGTAATCGGTTGCAGTAAATCATACATTTCAAACTGTAATACATATAAGGAAGGAAGGGTGGTCATTAAAATCAGTAGAAAAAGTGACGGCACTTCAGTGATGGGACCTGATTTTTCCCCTGCGAGGCCGGAAGTGAACGTGTCAAACTATGAGGTTCAACCAGTGAAACATTCTGATTGAACCCTACTTTTTGACGATCTTCAACGAATTCTAGCCCAGTGCTTATCTTAGTTGCACTATTGATAATAAAATTGCTAGTCAAAGGAATTTTAGACATTCCTCTGTCTCCGTGTCATTTTGTAAGCCAATTTGCAGAAAATAATCGAGAAATTCATGATTAACTACGGCAGACTACTTGTCCATTGTCGAACGATATTTTTGAAAGTAGGTATTTAATTACTCAGACTCTTAAGTCTGGCCGATTTCTACTACCATCTTGGTGGCATGGCCATCCGCCACCAGCCCTTCCTAAGCTCCGACCATTCTTTCCTGTCGGTGGCTTTTTATGGCTTCGGAGGTGACTCGGGGCGATGAGTACTTAATTAAAAATTAAATCAAAGAATTTTAGCTTCCCCAAACTCTGAAATGTGCCGAATAATGGCGATTTTAAAATCTCCAATTCCAAAATTCTTACAATTTTTCATCGTGCGATCGGTAACAAGAATTTCGCAAGAAAACCTCAAACGCATATTGACTACGTGGTAGTAGAGTAGACTGTGAAAAGGGCGTTATTGGGTGACCATCGGAAATTATCCCCCATAATGCGTCCTAGCCCTTTCTTCCTTTGCGGAAATTTGGACCATTTACTCTAAACTCTAAGGTCTTTTCATCACTATCCTGTTGCTGTCCATAAAGTTTACTCTGTCACTCCCAAATCCCCTCCACACCTGTGCATGAAGGCGTCAACTGTAGTCTTGATTTGTGAGTAGAAAGACAAAATATGAGTTACTAAATAAGCTACCAATCAGAACAAAGGTTAACAGTCACCTTTCAAGTCGCTGAAATGCTTTATTCCATTCTCCATCCAACTTGAAGGGTTCCAGACATTCACGCAAAATTTGAAGACACTTCATTTAGCCTTAATCCTACGGCAGTGATAATTACAGCATCATGGCGACTGGGTTACTCCCAGATCCCCTTTCAGGTGACTAGACCAATAGCAACCTAGGTGAATAAGGCAGAGTTTCATGCC